AGCTGCTTGGCTTTGGCAGCGGCATTTGGCTTTGTCGGCCCGCTTTTCCAGCGTATTTCCATTGGAAAGCCCCGGCAGGCAGCAGCAGGCAGCAGCAGGCAGCGGCAGGCACCGGGCAGCAGGCAGCATAGAATGAATGCATCGCATACTCGCAGATAGCACTCGGCTATTGTATCTGTATCTGTATCTGTATCTCGATCGTCGTCGTGGGGCGTGTGGCGTGCGTCCATTGGCTTTTTGCGGCATTTTATGCGGCTTTTGGTATGTTCATTGTGAATTTATTGTAGGTGATTTTATCGCTCAAACAAATGTTGCATTTTACAAGTGCTTCAAGTGGTTGTTGCCAACGTTTGCTAAAGACGGCGCTTATTAATGAGCTAGAGCTAGAGCACAGGCTAAAGCTGGAGCTGGAACCGGAGCTGGAGCGGCGACTAGATCTGGATCTGGCGCTGGCGCTCGCTAGTTGCACGCAGCGGGTGCTTGGCAACTAAGCAACTGGGAAACTGGCCTCTTGGGCAGTGGGAGTTGGAAGTTGGGTATTGGGAATTTGGTGGGCTGCGCCCGTGTCTAATCGCAGCACATTGAGTGGGTTGTCCCGACTTGTGGCCTGTCGATAGGCCAGCTGCTCTATTGGCCAATTTCAGCTGTTACTTTTGGCCAAACAAATTGGAATAATCATTCCTTTGGACTCTACAAGCGTCACAGCCAGACTCTATACATTTTCAGCACAATTAATTTCAAATTAAGCCTCCAGCTCGTTCGTGTTGAAATTTATGAAAATTGCCCAAAAATTGCTCGCGTCGATTCGATTCGATTCGATTCGATCGACGAAACCGAAACCATGACGAGCCCAAGCCACAGCATTATTTATAGAATATTGGCATTATAGAAACCCAAGACATATATGCCTATAGCTATGCAATATCGTTACTTTTGTTGGGCTCAGCAATGACAGCTCCAATTTAGGCGCCAGGCGCTGCCTGTAACTCGATTATAAAACCAAATTATTTATTTTTCTTGAGTTCTTTGGCAAAACAAAGTCTTAAGAATTTGAATAGCATTCATGATACAATTAGTTAAGACTTTTTTATTGAAACCGGGTTCAAATTCGCAGAGTGAAAAGATCTTAGACGAAGTCCCATCGATAGATAATCGGATTTGGTAACATATTTGTATACCCCCGTAGAAGGTATTATAATTTTGTCATGAATTGTGTAGCGCATAGAAGAAGGATTTATATTATAGATTAGCATCAACAGCCGAGTTGATATATCTTTGTCCGTCCATCTGTCTCTCCGTCCGTCCGTCTTTCGGTCTCTCCGTCCGTCTGTCCGTTTCTATGCGAACTAGTCTCTCAGTTTTAAAACCATCGTCTCTCTGTTAGAGGCAGTACATATGTCGGGGGAACCGGATCTGGAGCTCGATTGGACCACTATATCACATTGCTGCCATAGAAGCGAGTGGTCGAAAAGTGGATTCTTGTGTGGAAAACTATTCTGTTATCAAGATATGTAGACCCAACTCGGCAATTATTAGCTCCACTATACTCCTTACACATAGGGAAAAATCTATCAACATCGGACTACTATATCATATAGCTGTCATTGGAAAAATCATTGGAAAAGTTGATTCTTGTATAGTTTCAAGATATCAATCTCGGCAATTACTATTTAAACTGTGCTCGTTATATATAAGCCAAATCTTATCAAGATCGCACTACTATTTCATAAAGCTTTATATAAAAAATGGTCGAAAATTGAGTTTTTTGTTGGAAAAAAATTCTGTTTACCAAGAAATTTTCTGTTCTCACATAATTGAATTTGTTGTGATTTTACTAAAAACACAATTAAGCTCGTCTTCAATATTCAATATTCTACTCGATTCGTCAGCTGTGGAGAAACACCAAAGTTTAAAAATAGATAAATTGTGTTTTTTATATAATGAAAAGACCTGGCACCAAAATTCAAGGTCTAGTGCCAATTTCAAAAGTAAAGTGATAACTAGTTAGCTAAATTCTGTACTTATTAAAACAATAACAATTTCCTTTAATATTTTCTTTTCAAATATTATTCTTGTAATTTTCTATTTGAATATTATACTTTATAAAAACCGAATTAATCATTCTAATTCTGGAGCTTTTAAAGGTTTAAAGAATTCCCATAATAAGTGCTTTTATAATTATTACTATCAATTATAAGGTATTCATTAATGATTTTCATATAACCATATTATATATTATACACAAGCCCAATTCAATTTCCTTTATTATTATATTTTTGCAAATATTTCAAATATTATTCTCGTCACTTTCTATTTGAGTATAATTCACAAAATAAATGCCTTTAATATTGTTAATGTTTTCTATGTACCTATAATTTATAATACACAAGCCCAATCCATTTTAATTTTAAAATAATAACAATTTCACTTATTATATTTTCAAATATTAGTCCTTTAATTTTCTGCTTAAATATTATACTTCATAAAAACCCCATTAATCATATAGATATCCATAAAAAACCAAATTTAGCTAAAGTAAAAGGTAAGTCTGATTTAAATAATTCACATTTGTTATTATTATTAATTATTAATTCATGTTTAATTTTCCTCTTGTTATAATATTTTGTTCATCTTCAATCTATCTATTATTTCAAATCTATCTCTATTGTCACTTGACTTAGTGTTACATCAAGTTATATATTCCACATAAAGCTAGTTTTGACATCATTTGAAAATAGATTCGATTTTTTCAAGCAGTTTAGGGTAGTGGCAACTCCTTGTTGAACTTTGAATTAACGATAAGTGCCCATGAGCAGGCCGCTTGTTTTCCAATTACGGCCATCAATCATTTTGACGGACAAAAACAACACAGAAATCAATAGCATTAGTAATAGAAATTCTGAGGGGCCGTAAAAACGCACGCAAAGGGCCAAAGGACTTGGCCAGAGCTGGTGCTGGAAGCAGGCACACCTGCGTCTATTAAGGCTAATCAATGTTTAACACACACACACACAGACGGGGCCAAACATCAATCAATTGATTGACCAGGTCAACCTTTGCCACGAAGGTGATTAGAACAGCGCGATGCGCTGTCCATTTGCTAGTGGTTTGACAAGTGGGCGCAGGCTCTGGCGCAGACGGGGGAAGTGGGGAGTGGGCAAATTGCTGTCACAAGCGCCAAATTATGCGCTTGCTCCAGTGTCTGGGACTTAATCGAAGACAAACATCTAATTGACATAAAGCCGACATGGTAAACGACGCAAATCCAGCCAAATAGTTGGCCACTAAATGAAGACTCCAAGCGAAGAGCCGCAGAGGCAGAGGCGGCCAGACTGCCGGCGCGTATCTAACATCTATTGGCGATATTTATGGCAATGGTTCAAGAGTTCAAAATGCAACCAGTTGGGCTGCCAGTTGGAAGTGCAGTTTAATCAAGGCTTAGGCGATGCTCAGGCGACTATTAATTAGCGGCTTACAAGTCTTTGCTTGTGGCAACTTCATTGATGGCGCGGGCGGCGCCTGTGGCAAGTTGTGCGTACAACTTGCAACTTGCTGTGCTGCATGGTGCTGCATGGTGAAAGGGGCTGCCTAGAAGCATTTGCCCTCGAGCAGACGGTGACGACCATCAAACAAAACACCTGATGGCCAGCGCACAATAAACGCTTGAAAGAGGTCGACATTTTGCCAACACTCGCGGTCATAAAGCAAGCAATTTAAGGTGAAAGGTGCTCAGCTGGCAAACTTGAAGAGTTGCAGACATGACGACATGACGACATGAATACATGAACACATGAAGACATATGCCGAGAAGCCAGAAAAAGAAAAAATGTCTGAAAATGGCTTGGCTATAATTAATTTGCTGTTGTTGCTGCCGCTGCCGCTGCAGTTGCTGCTGCTGCTGCTGCAGTTGCTGGCAGTCAAAATCGAAAAGTCACTTATGACTGACACTTTGCATATGAGGCGGCAACGTCTGCCGCCTCCTCCAAGCTGAACATCAAGTTGAAGATGAAGATGACGACCCAGACATGCAGTGACTTATGATTTACCTTCTTAACTCAACTCAAGCTCAAGCTCGAGCTCGAGCTTAGCTCCAACTTGGCTCACGTTGATTTCGCGTGATTTAAGCCAACAAATGTTTGCAGAAAAAGTTATGAGCATTTGATTTACGATGTGCTGGCCAAATGCTGCCTGCAACGGGCCGCATGCAACGTGCAGCGTGCAACTGACCATAGTGCCTCCTACCGCTCAGCCTGGGCGTGCGCTGATGGATTTGTCAAGTTTGTGGGTCAAGCAGCGCGTTAGGCGCTTCAACTCTCTGCTTTTTACTATATGCTTATATATATACATATATATATATGTTCTTGCTGAATTTCCGCCAGACGATGATTACTCAAAATCACAGCTATAGCTGACTTCATGTCCGCATTGCATTTGCCCCGTGTGAACCCTGCTCAGCCGGCGACTAATTGCGGCAAATGCGGCAGCAACATAAAAAATTAACTTTTTTATATCATGGCAGAGGGTATTAAATTTGTTCAGCATACATACATATATTTTTGATCAATATCTGTTAACTGTATCTAAAGCTATCTTCCTAAAGCCGTGCAGAGATATCACTTTGGGTGCAAGTCGTATTACTATACTATACTATGTATATACTATATTACTATATCATATAGGAAAGATTAGTCAAAATTAGTCAAACTTGGTATTTACGATCATGCTCTTTACTTATGAACCAAACCATATCCACATTGAACTTCTATGTCACAAAGCTTTATAGAAAGAAACGCTCTTAAACTAAGTTTTTGTATGATAATTTCTGTTTTTCAAGATAATTTAATAATTTTAATTTCAAAATACTATATCATATGACTCATATTACGTCATATCGGTCGGCATTAAAGCTTTTTCAGCCTTATGTCTGCAAGGGTATTCAATCTTCGGCATGCCGAAGACATATGCTCTTTCTTGTTTTTAGTATTTAAAGTGGGACTTACATGCTTGGATTTAAAGTTTATAGCTATTTCAGCGACTAGTTGTGTGAAAGTGTAGGATAGTTAGCTGTAAATAGAGTAAAATTTGCGTAGATTAACATTTATTTTTAAATTAATTTGATTTACATACAAAAAAGCCTTAACATGTTTTTACCGGCAACATCTAAAGCAGCTGTTAGTGAAAGCCGCGCTGTTAACTAACTGTTAACTCCTATCGAAGTGTAATGTTAGCAAGTCCTACTTTGTGTTTAACCAACAAAACTTTCTTCAAACATTGCCCCAATCGCCAAAACCGAATCTATTTATAATAAGAACTATGCTAAATCCCACAATCCTGAACCACATTCCATGCGGGCACACGCACACATCTGGATTTAGAGAGGCATGCGAGGCGTGGCCAGGACAATAAAAAGTCTTTTGTGGCTGGGCCCAAGTCAAATGGTTTTCGTAAAAGGCGCTGCCAGAAGGCGTTGAGTTGCCCTCATCATTAGGACAGCATTTCATCCAAAGCAATGCAAACATTGGCGATGACGTCACAATGTCGCAGCGTGTCATCGGCGAGACGAGAGTGTTGCGCGCTGCGGCCCAACCCCTAAACGAGGCGATTCCAGCCCAGCCCAGCCCAACCCCTGGCTCAAGCAGGCGCCAAGGACGAAAACAAGGAAGAAAAAAAAAAAAACTGCGCGAAAAACTGCAGCTGATTTTGCGCTAGCGGCATCGTGGGAATCTTTGAGCAGCAACCCTAGAGCTAGCTAGCTGGCAGCCGGCAGGGGCAACCCTTCGACTTGGCGTTGGACACAGCTGCAACACAGTGCCAACAATGCCAGAGAGATCTCCGCGTCCATAGCTGGTCAAGAGGCAATGGCAGCTGGCGGCGGCGCAGTACAGTCGAGCCATTGCATTTGGATTGATGATGGCCTAGGATGATTGGCTGGACGTTCCTGCTGCATATGTCACTGGGCGCAGGCGCTGGCGCAGATACAAATGTATCTGTAGCGGGAAATCAGTCCAATTAAAAATAATAAAGGCGAAACGCAGCTTGTTAGCGGTTAGCGGCTGCCAAGATGGCAGATTGCACCCAAAACAATAGGACTCCACTTTCAGCTCTAGGCGCGTGGGAAAGCAGCTCTCCAACGTCGCCAACGTCTCGGTCAGCCGATTGGGCCAGTTTTTGGGCCCACTGCACCTGCCGCGCCCCAAGCTCGGCACAACCATATTTGGTTTTACATATGCCAGACTCTGCAGAATCGTGATCAAATCAATGCCCGGCCATAAAATTGTGGAATTCTAACAGCAATTTGAGCGCAACACGAACACGCTATCGCGGGCCAGTTAAAGGGGCGAGGGGGGAGCGAGAGGTGGAATACGGCGCCTGACAATTCTATTTGGCACGAGCTCATTAAGCACCATTTATATGCAACATGAGCCATGACTGGACCAAAACTGCAGCCGATCTCGGACAGTCGACAGCGAAAACCTCTCCAACCTCTCGATGGCGAGTCAATGGCTTTTGCCTGGCCCGTTGACAAGTTGTTGACGCTGGCAAATGATTTACGGGCTCCAGTTGGCTCCCGGCCAGCAAAAGCTACAACAACAACAACAACCGCTTTCGGCCGCATGCCAAATTCAGCTAACAACGCACAACAAGTGCCAACACGTGGGCACTCGGCTGTCTACAAGGCGAGTGTTTGGCTTATGGATAAGCTGAAGAATTACGTTTGATCAGAACTTGGCACTAGGTTTACAAATAGATCCCTTGGAAAGCTAAGACTAACCAACTTTAACTATAGAATTTTCTGGCCTGCACTGGTATGTATTTTGATAAAATTATCTAGAATTAAAATTAATTAATTATCTTAGTATAAGAAAATTTAAACTACTTTATCAAATCTTTCTTTTAATATGCCTCATTGCGCTTTTTTTAGAATTGTGATATAAATCTTATCATATCTTATGGCAAATGTGCAATATATTTAGCTATAAGTGCATACCTAATCTAATTTCTAATTTCTTCTAATGCAGAGATAATTTAAGAATTTCCGAGATATGGAAAATAACAAATAAGTGGGCTGCAGGGCTTCACAAGAGGTTATAGAGTTGACAGCAAAGTATGCTTTAAACAGAAGCGAAAGCTTCTTGAAATAGCTATACAGACAATCCGCTCATTCTTCTTGTTTAGAGCTTGTTGTTGTTGTTCGTTTTGACCAGAATTGACTACAAGCCGCCCAGCTTATAATTTAGTTTTAATTTATTAAAAGAAGTTCTTAATACAAAAACTTAAGTTTCATCCAATCGTTTCTATGGCAGCTCTTGGATAAAGCTGTTTTTGGGGGAGTTAGGTTTTTCATAGAAAATATCTGTTCGAATTCGACTGAGTCTAAATCTAGATCTAGTCTAGTCTAATCAACAACGGACTACTATGGCAATAGCTTTCATGGAAACGATTGCTGAAAATTAAAGTTTTTGTATAAACAAATTTTTTATATAATATTTATTAGATAGGACCTTCTCTCTCTCTAAATTCAATAAACCTCTCATTACTATTTATAAGATATATCTCCCATAGGAACGATCGTTTGAAAATAAATGATAAAAAAAAGCCCACATTCAAATAGCTATCAGACTGACAGACTATCTTGCAAAGATATTGACAGAAAGATAACTCGACGGACAGAGCTTTAATGACTCAACGCATCGACCTGGTCAAGAATATATATACTTACCGGAATCGCAGATGTCTCTTTCAAGGCGTTATCCATTTAATGGCTAAATTATAATAACGCCAGTTAATGCCAACTTAATTGAGGATTAACGTATTCCCACATACCCGATTAGCATAGAGCGTGCATCGTTGATCAGCTGCCAAGACTGTCAACATTGTCTCTGGTGACGGGGCTTAATCGGCTGCATCAGAAGTGTGCCAGAGTTGGAGTTGGAGTTTGGGCTCAAGGATTTTGACAGCTAAGCTGACATGGCAAAAATGCATAACCGAGCAGCGGGCGAGGGACGGACGGGCCGACGGATCGACACAATATGACGGACTGCTACACGACACATGACTTGTCTATGGGCAACCAGGTGAATATGGCAAAGCTCAAATGCAATGAAACAATCAATCAAAGCGCTGAAAAGAGGCTTGTCCCGGGGCAGCAGCAGCTCTGAGCTGGAGCTGGGCATGCGAGCGGACCAGGACGGGGCGGGACTGGAGAGCGTAACGGTAACTCAAATGGCACAAAATCAAATTACCAGCAATGATTAATCAATCAACACACCGTCCGCCAGCAGCAGCAGCAGCGGCAGTTGGCCGCCACAGTAAAGCCTCCGCTCATTGCGATAGCCGGCACGATCGGGGGCCGCTGGCCTCGTCGCGATCTGGTTGCGGTTGTGGGTGTGTTTGTGTGTGTGACTGAGCCAGCTAGCCAGCCAACCAGCCAAGTGGGTGCGTTCTCACAGCTGGATGCCAATGCTGACAATCACGATCATACACTCATACACACACACACACACATACACACCTGCATTTGTGTAGACACCACGTGTGCGTTCCAGACAATTTCAAATCAATGCTGCAAGCTGCAGCAGGAGCTGCCGCGCTTGGCTGTGGCCTCTTCCCTAAATGGCCCGGCCTGGCCAGGTCGATCTGCGGTTCGATCGTGCCAAAAATGGGTTTGCAACTGGAATTCGCTTTTAGTCAAGCAACAAGCCCAAACGCGGCACCAACTGCGATTGCGATTGCGTCTGCGTCTGCAGCTACCAGCTACCAGCTCCCAGCTCCAAGCTCCATCTGCAGCCAACTTTGTGGCGCAGGTGGCGATTGGCAATTGGCAATTGCTGCCGCCAGCTGCACACGCGCTTGGTGTGAACAACTAGAAAGTTTTTCTTAATGCCACAAAACTTAAGAGCTCGCTCGTGAGAATCAGTCCGATGGCCGACTGCCGTAAAATTTATGGTTTGACTGGCCAAAATGAATGCACGGAGCCGATTCAATTTATGGCTGACTAATGAAAATTTGACAAATAGCAAATGGGCTGGCAATTTAATTCTAGCCAGGCCAATAACATTCATCATTGCGGCCAAACATTTCCGGGCATAGAAATTGATTGACAAGTCGAGGATCACAGTCCGTCCAGGCCCCACAGTCACAGACCAAATGGCAACGGCAGCCAAAACACGTCAGGTCCCAGATTGCAAGTTGCCAGCCCGCTGCCGATTTATGGCCGCCCAGCTACAAGCTCCGATACGGATGCCGCCAAGTCGTGACCCGCGTGCATTGAACCTTTTTTTTTTTTTGTCTTGTTGCTCTTTTCTGTCCGATCTTGTCTGGGCCCGAGCTGCGGCAACGTCACATATTGAAACGAAATAATGTGCCAGCACGAAATGCAATTTCCAAACAAGCAGCAAAAACTTATTGTGGGAGCCGCTTGAACATAATGAAGCCGTTGGTCATTGCCCAAAGGTTCAGGCTGTCAATCATAATTTGTGTGCTTTTAAAATGTGCTGCACTCGTTTTCCCACATTTTATGCCCCGCTGCATCGCTGCTCTGCTGCTATGCTGCTCTGCTGCACTCGCTGCCTTGCCCCTATTCCCGACTATCTGGGAAAATCACTGGCGTAACTGGAGGCTCGCTTGTTGCGCAACAATTACTCGCTTTTGGTTTGCCTCTCCAACCTTCATCCGCCGCAGTTAGCAGTTAGCCAATTGTCAGTTGGCAGTTGACTGCTTGCAACCGCCACGCATCCGATGCCGATGCAACACCTTCGCCCATCAACGCTGCGCGCTCCGCTGCACTCCCTCCCTGCCAAGGTGCAAGTGCGTACCCGAAGGGTTGGCTTGACTTTGAAATTGTTTCACGCTTGTTTTCGGTTACCCGAAACGGAACTGCGCAAGATTGGCCAAAAATGGGAACTCGTCTTTTGACCAATTTTCACACATTGTATGCGCAGCTGCTTAATAAATATTCAAGCAATATGTTAATTTTTTATGTTATAGAGCGGAAATTAAATTCAACAGTTTACGTTTTGCCCGCTCCATTGGACTGGGTTAACCATAGCTTAGTTTGTCAATTCAAATATACTAAGTCCTTGGATTTCATTTGACTGATTGATGGATAAACATGATGTAAATCATGAAAATATTTTCTTGTATACTTGACCACTAGATGTCGCCACTGTTGCAGCCAACTTCAGTTCATTTAAAAACTACTCAGACTTACGTGAAGTTGGCTGCATTTCAATTTTGAACTCAACGAATGCGCTAGCTTAACGAAATTGACTAAAATAGAAAATTTAACTTTTTCATTGCATACTTCGTGGCGCTTATGGTAAAGTCGATAAACGACATTTTTAGTTATTGAATAAGCGATTCAGATTGATTGATGTGTATATAAAATATATATATTTAATATATATCAATCAATAAATATATATAAATCTCAACGAAAATAATGATATCGATATTATAAATCGATTTAACGATACTAATATACACAATTTAACCGGAGTCATGTTTAAACGCATTGTGTATTCTATGACATTTTTAATTTTTTGTAAATAAAATATTTAATGGATTGAATTTTGAACACATATCGAAAAGATTGCCTCTCATTAAACATCAATAATGACGATTTCGATAGCATTGCGTGTGCTTAAATGAAATTTATCTGTACGGCAACGCCGGCAATATGCAATCGATATATCTATCGCTCGAAAGAGGTGGCAACGCAAGCAAACAATCGAAAAAGTATTGACTGTGTAAGAGAACATTAAAACAAATACAGGTTCTCATACAAATTTTAATTTGTAAATTAATTAGCTGTTATTGTTATTGAATCAATGTCAGAATCAACGTTTGACATAATACCGACGGTTCCCCGCGAAGACCTTTGTGCCCTGCAAACGGTTATATCGAAATTGGAAGACCATTTAAAAAGTACCAATGAAAAACTTGGGAATTTGCGGAAACTCATCAGAACCGAATCGAATCTTAAATCACGCAATATTTACTTGAGTAAAGTATATTCCATGGTGAAAGAGCAACACACAATACAAAGAATACTGGAAAGTTACAAAACAAAGTTAAAAGATTTGGAAGCCCGTAATAAACAGGTAGAAATGGGCACTGCATACATAGTACGTACTCCTCCAATATACAAATCGATCATTCACAGAAATCGGATGGAACGAATAATCAGCAGCATACTAAAAATGCAAAGCTCTTTGAACTCTTTCATAATTATGAGCCAATAGTAAGTAAAAAGTCACTTAAGCCCAAAGAATTGCTACAGTTATAATAATATTGTGTGTGTCTTTTAAAGGAAACAAGTTTTGAGAATAAGTCTGTTAAGACTTATGAGCCTTTAGTAAGTATAGAAAACTAAAATACAAAGAACTTGTAAAATTAACAAACTTTGTTACTTTCGAACAGGCTCATCCGAAAAAGCGCAAGTCTGGGGACGAAGAGAAAATTGTAGATCTTGAAGATGCCAAACCCAAGCCAATTGTCATTAATAACCATGGCGAGACGATGAAATTCCTAAAAGCTCATGTCAAGAAGCGCATAATAGAAGAGGAACAAAAACAAAAAGTAGAGTATACAATTCCTGTAATTCATATAGCAGAGGATACAGTTCCTGAAGTTCAGATATTGGAGGATACAGTTGGTAAAGCTCAAATGGCAGGGGAAACGAAGCATGTAGATGATGAAGTTCAAATGGCAGAGGAGCCAAAGCATGTTAATGATGAAGTTGAAATGGAGGAGAAACTGAAGCATGGAAATGATGAAGTTCAAATAGAGGAGAAACCGAAGCATGTAATTGGTGAAGTTCAGATGATGGAGGAACCGAAACATGAACAGGATGAAGTTCAAATGGTGGAGGAAACAAAGGATATGGATGCTGAAGCTCAAATGGTAGAGGCGCCAAAGCATATAGATGCTGAAGCTCAAATGGTGGAGGAACCAAAGGATACGAACATAAAATTAGGAGAGGAACATCAACAAACAAATAAAGAAGATGACATTGCAAACCCCATCACTATTAACAATCATGCCGAGGCGATGCAATGTTTAAATGTCCTGCAAGAATATGCCATGTTGAATGAGAATTATCGAGCTATTGGACTTTTAACGGAAACGGAAAAAGCATTCAAAAGTCCGCCTAACCTTTCCGACTTTGAGCTGTAGCAATCGTGATATGTATATAGGCATGTAAATATAAGTGTAATATAATTAAGTCAAGCAATAAATCGGGTCAGAATTAATTCAAGGTGTGTTTAATATAATATGAATTGAATACAATTAGTTAAATGTAATGTTTAAATATATATTTACATTATATTTACCGCTGAAGCTCATTTGTTGTCACAATCAGCAGTGTTACCAGCTGTTCGCTACATACCAATTGTGAATGTGCGTCAGCTGAGATTTTGCAAGTCAAAGTGGTGACTTTGGTGTTTTTTAGTACATTTACGTTATTGAATAAAATGGTCACCCGCGCAACATTACTATAAACAAATCCTGAAAATTCGACATTTCTGCAAATATGTGAGTATCCATCGGTCTGCACAGCAAATTCACAGTTAATTATTTTATTTTTATGTAAAAAGGAAGCAAATTTCGCATTTATCGCAGTAAACGTGAATTGAATACATTTGCATGCTGCCAATTAGTGCGTAGACAAATTAAATGGACAAGTTAACATCAGACGAAACTGCGAAGCAGCCGGCGCTACGCAAACGACTCGGCCGGCCGCCCAAGGTCAATGCACAAGAGTCTGAACCAAATGAGGAAATGGAATCGCTAGCCGAGGAGCGCACCTCGTCGACATCGCCAACAAATTGCCGGCGCAGCACGCGCAAGAAAATCATTAAATTTGATGTGCTCGATGTGCTCAACAAAAGCCGCAAGACGCACAAAATACAAATTGAGGCACGCATCGATTCTAATGCACCAACACCAACGTCCCAGCTGGCAGCGAGTGCGTCGTCAGTGTCAGCGCCAATAATCGATGTTAATCGTTTAATTGCGCCGCGTCCGCCGCCGCTGCTGCCTGCGGTGCCACTTTTGCCGACGCTGGACATATTCACCAAGCCGAAGCCAATGCCAAGCTTGATTGTTGCTCAGGTGAGCAGCGATAGAACAAGTTCTGCCAATCCGCCGCCACAGCAGCAGCAGCAACAGCCTCTGCGCAAACGTGGACGGCCCCGCAAAGCACAATTCACAGACAATCCAACTGGTGGCGGTTGCTCGAAACTGGACACCAGCTTGCCCAATTCTGTCCCGAACTTGCCTGGCAGCTTGGAGCTAGCTGAAGCCGCCTCTGACTCTGATGAGTCGCTAAAGGGTTTCCCACCCTTGGCTGTGGAGGATGCAGCTAATGCTGCACAAATACCGCAGGATGACACAGTGTTAGATACAACAATTGATGTAGTTGAGACTGAGATCATAACTGTGCCGTGTGATGAAGATTCGGATTCACAAATTATATTTGTGGATATTGAGACGACAAAAGCTGAATCGGATATAGCAGAAGAAGCAGAATTTGAGAACCCAACCAACACATCTGACGATACGCGCATTTTCAAGCTTATCTTTCCAAAGGAAGAGCAACTGCAGCAGGAACAAGCAGATGTGAAGCCTGTGGCCCAGCAACTATGCGATGATGAGCAGCTTTGTGAACCGCCAGCCGGGCCTAATGAGGATGAAAAACTGCATGAGCTAAGAAAGAAAACGGAATCGGAACTACTGGCTGAAGTGCTCAGCGAGCCAGCAGAGCTCTGGTTTACCGAAGATGACGATAAGGATGAAGAACAGCAACAAGTGCAGATGCTCCAGGAACAGCAGCAACAGCAGTCAAATAACAAGCCGAAGCTCGAAACTGAACTAGCTAGTGAGTTGCCCAGTGCAGGTTCTATTGGAGATCTGAACCTAAAGAAGCAGGAGAAGTGTAGCAACACAGAGCCGAAGCTAAGCACTGACGCAGCTGAGCTGAGCAAGCTACCCCGTCCAGGCTCTATTGAAGATTTGCAACCAAAGGACAAGCCGCAGCAATGCAGCAGTCCTAAGCAGGTTAAGGAAGAGTTCCAGATGGCTGTGGAGCTAAGGAAGGAGCTGTCATTACCAAATTCTTCAGCTCCGCAGCACAAAAGCGATGAGACAAAAACTTCCACTGCGTCAGAGTCGAAGGCGGGCACAATCCCTATTGCTGCTGTGAAGCCAGACGACAAGAGCAAGATCATGGAGCCCACTCCGCAGCCGGCGTACAAAGCCGTAGCACATTTCGAATTAGAATCTCTCAGGCGCGCGGCCAAAGCAACGGGCATAGAATTGAAGCTGCCCGTGACTATGGAGAAACTTCTGAATGCCAACCCAATATCAGAGCCTTTAAAGGCTGAAATTAAGAAGCAGCCAGGTTTAGGCAGGACTGAAACGCCGCCAGCTCTGTCCTGGCAACTGGCCAAGCTTAAGGATGTGCCGGCGCAGGTTGACTTGCCTGTAAAGCAGCTGCAGGTTGACTTGCCTGTAAAGCAGCCGCAGGTTGACTTGCCTGTAAAGCAGCAGCAGCCGTTGGCAGACAAACCCGCTGAGGAAAAAGCTGCTCGACAGCTTTGGTCAGGTCCTTCAGAAGCAGCCACAGCAGCAGCTCTCCCAATACCCAAGACAGCCAAAACCGCTGCTGAGGAACCAAAGCCGGATTTGGCCATCACAAAGTCAACTGCTAGTGAAAAGAAAAAAACAAGTGACAGTCCCAAGCCGGAGAAGCCCTCGTCCTCTTCCTCCTCCTCCTCCTCCTCCTCGGCAAACACAACTTTTGTAGAGTGCGATGCGCTGTTTAAGGTCTTGGACAAAGCCCATGCCCAGATGCGGCACGAAGAGAAGGCAAAAAAAAAGAAGTCTAAGCAGTCAAGCAAGAAGCAATCATCGGAACAGACGCAGGGACGCACCACGCCGCTGGCCCGTGCCAAAAAGCAGGCGCCAAAGGAGAGCACACGTCGCAATACCATTTCCGAGGAACGGCACGAGGAAGACAAGCTGCAGTTGACCAATAAGCGTCGCAACTCCGTGCATCCTTTCAAGGCAACGCTGAGTCCAGAGCGCGCCTCCGAGGCAGAGTCCAAGCCTAGCAGTAGCAGCAGCGGAAGCAACAAGAAGTCAGCCCAAAGGAAGCCGTCGCGCAAAGCAGCAACAGCAAAACAGCTGCCCATCAGCCAGGACTCGCTGGACTCCAGCTCGAGCTCGTCGACAAAAGCTAGCGAACTGCCTGGCCGCAGCCTGCCAACGCCAACTGCTGAGCTAGAGGCATCCAATCCGTTGCACGACATAGCCAAGTTCATTGAGGATGGCGTCAAGCTGCTCGAGCGCGACTACAAGCTGGAGGATGAACAGCAGCAGCAAGAGCAGCAGCAGCAGACACAGCCACAGTTACAGGAAGAGATAACTGAAGATGAGTTTGCCCAGCGTGTGGCCAATCTGGAGACACCAGCCAACACGCCAGCTCCTTCACCCGTGGGCAGCACTGAGGATCTGTCCTCGGGCGTGCGCCGTTCGCATCGCATCAAACAGAAACCACAAGGCGCGAAGGCTAGTTTGGGGCGTGGCAGCAGCAGTCAAACGCCCGCGATTAGCATGGAACAACAGCTAGCCGAGCTGTCACAGATTGAGACTATCAACGAGCAGTTCCTACGCAACGAAGGACTCCACACATTCCAAACGCTGCGCGACAATTATTATCGTTGTGCGCGGCAGGTGAGCAAGGAGAACGCAGAAATGCAATGCGATTGCTTTGTCACCGGCGACGAGGAGGGACTGGGACAACTGCGCTGCGGCGATGGCTGCATCAATCGCATGCTCATGATTGAATGTGGCCCACTGTGCACCTACGGCGAGCGCTGCACGAACAAACGCTTCCAGCAGCATCAGGGCTGGCCCTGTCGCGTCTTTCGCACCGAGAAGAAGGGCTGCGGTATTACTGCCGAGCTGCAAATACCGCCCGGCGAGTTCATCATGGAGTACGTGGGCGAGGTGATTGACAGCGAGGAGTTTGAGCGTCGCCAGCATCTGTACTCGGAGGATCGCAATCGGCACTATTATTTTATGGCGCTGCGCGGCGAGGCTATCATCGATGCGACCACCAAGGGCAACATCTCGCGGTACATCAATCACAGCTGTGATCCGAATGCGGAGACGCAGAAGTGGACGGTGAACGGTGAGCTGCGCATTGGTTTCTTCAGCGTGAAGACCATCCTGCCCGGCGAGGAGATCACCTTTGATTACCAATATCAGCGCTACGGACGCGATGCCCAGCGCTGCTACTGCGAGTCGGCCAATTGTCGTGGCTGGATTGGCAACGAGCCCGAGTCGGATGAGGGCGAGCAGCTCGATACGGAGAGCGATAGTGAGCCGGAGTCACTGGTCGAGGAGCTGCGACTGGAGCAGCAGGAGCTGAAGGCCAAAACGCCCAGAAGCGGCAAGTCGAGAAAGCAGCTCAAGTTGCCGACGGCGCGCAAGCAGCGCAAAGAGCAGCCAAAGGCCAAGGATCGCGAATACAAGGCGGGACGTTGGCTGCGTCCATCGGGCGGCGCCAGCGGCGAGAAGTCGGCAATACGCAAGCCCGACCAGCTGGAGGACCCGGATGTGCTTGAACAGCTAACGCTGCTCGGCCGCAGCGGCCTCAAGAACCAGCTGGACACGTTGCGTCTATCGCGTTGCATGGTACGTGCCAAGCTGCTGCAGTCTCGCCTCCAGCTGCTGGGCGTGCTCACCCGTGGCGAGCTGCCATGTCGTCGGCTCTTCCTCGACTACCATGGCCTGCGTCTGCTGCATGCCTGGATCAGCGAGAGTGGCAGCGACAAGCAGCTGCGCCTAGCACTGCTTGAGGCGTTGGAGTCGCTGCCCATACCCAACAGAACCATGCTGAATGACAGTCGCGTCTATCAGAGCGTGCAACTATGGAGCAGCCAGTTGGCACAGCCAGCTGAGATGCCAACGGAGCCGTTGGTGCCACCAGAACCGAATACGGAGGAGGACGAGTCACTGCGTCAGCGCATCGCGGCGCTGCTCCAAAAATGGAATGGCTTGCCCGAAATCTTTCGCATACCCAAACGCGAACGCATCGAACAGATGAAAGAGCACGAACGCGAGGCGGATCGACAGCAGCAGGTGCATCACACAGTCACCGCACTGGAGGACAGCAACAGCGCCTCCTCCGTGCTAAACAGCGATCGCTACCGGCAGGATCGTTTCCGGCGCGACACCAGCAGCCGCTACGAAAAGTCCAAGCCGCCGACTCGGATGAGCGGCAACAATACCATCTGCACAATCACCACACAGCCCAAGGAATGGCAGGGCACCATAGAGAGCGCCAGTGGCAGTAAATCTGAGAGTCGTAGACGTTCCGACTTCGATCCACGTCGAACCATAACCAAGGAGATGCGGCGTTCGCTATTCGAGAGAAAGGTAAGTGAAGGACAACAACAAGAACAACAACAACCCCAGATCTCAGAGTATTCACCCAACTTATCACAATGCAGGTGGCCCAGGACGAGGCGGAGAAGCGTGTTGGCAGTGAGGATTGGCGCGAGCACGAGCAGCGCTGTGAATATTTTGGCGCAGATCTCAACACAGATCCCAAGCTGCTGCCATTTTACCAGAACACAGAGACCAACGAATGGTTCAACAGCGAGGATGCGCCTGTGCCAGTGCCGTTGCGCTGCGGCGATGCCGCTGAGCCGCCCTCCCCAGAACATGAAGATGATGTGGAATATAAGCTGCCCGCTGGCGTCGATCCGTTGCCGCCCTCCTGGCACTGGAGCCTAACACCCGAGGGTGATATTTATTATTACAATTTGCGTGATCGGATTCCACAGTGGGAGCCACCGAATGCTGAACAGCGTTTGCAACAGCTGGTAGAGGAATCACCGGAGAAGGAGCTGGCAACGGATGAGGCTGCCAATTCGGCCGATCTGATCAACATTGATATTGACTATGTGGGCAGCCTCAGCGCCAAATCTCTGGCGCAGTACATTGAGGTCAAGATACGCGAACGACGCGAGCTGCGACGCAGTCGCCTCGTCTCTGTGCGCGTAATAAGTCCGCGTCGCGAGGAGGATCGCCTCTACAATCAGCTGGAGTCGCGCAAGTACAAGGAGAACAAGGAGAAAATACGCCGTCGCAAAGAGATCTATCGACGCACACGCAATGAGGCAAATAGCATTCCACCACCAGCTGGAGAGTCGAGTGATTCACTGCCCATTCATGGCTATCTATACTCCTCGGATGAGGAGGCGGTCGCCGATGGCGCGGGCAGTGTACCGCTAGCTGATTCTACTGCCGATGGCGAAAAGGAATTGTCGGAGACAGTGAATCGTCGGCGTCAATCTCGACCAACCTCGCCACAATCCACTAGTTCGACAGACACAGAAACGTTGCCAAGCGCAAAGCGCAAGCTGCCCCTGACGGAGGGCCAAAAGAAGCATCGGGACAGCAAGCGGAAGACGTAAGCCTGGCCTGGACCACACCACGACTGAATTCTAACCTCCCCTTTGAATAATTTTAGCATGTTAACCGGACGCGATGCCAGTGACAAGTTTCACTTTGAGATAAGCGGTCACGTGGCCGAGTTTTTGCGTCCCTATCGCCAGGATACCTGCCAGCTGGGCCGCATTACAAGCGATGAGGACTATAAGTTTCTTATTAAGAGGGTAAATTTGATAGGCTATACTCTATTGGAATTAAATAACACAATATCCTTGCAGTTGAGCCACCACATAACCACCAAGGAGATGCGCTACTGCGACATGACCGGCAATCCGTTGGCCTGCACGGAATCGGTTAAACATAAGTCCTATGAGTTTATCAAACAATATATGCGCAAAAAGGGGCCCGTTTACAAAAAACCAGTCGACAAGCCCGACTAATGACTAGTTCTTAAACACAACATTTTTTCCTTAAAACTTCGGGCAGCTAAACAACGTCATAAATAGAATACGTATATCACTCTGAAAGTTGTATACAATATTAAGTTTTGTTTTTAAGAATCATTTTACCTCAAGTTGGGTAATGCAACTTTAAATTCTTAATTTAAGCACATATGAAATGTAATCGAATGCATGATTTTTTTTTTTTAATTTTCCTTTGTTATTGTGTGCCAAAACAAATACATTTTTAATTGGTGCCAATTATATGGCCATTCAGATATTATTTAGTGCATCTATAAAATATGTGTTTATTGTTCTGTCTGTTATCGCTTTTCTCTCTCCCCGGCGCTCTGTAATGAGCTTATTCTCGCAACTCAATAAAAAAATACACGAAAATCGTAAAGCATTAATTGAATTCGTGAAAACCGCATAGAAAGGCCATGTTTGAAAGAGCGTGTAGGGTATCTCCTACTCGAGCTATAAGCTATATGAAACTCTGGCGAACGCTACACGCAATTTTTTAAGGTAGTGAAATTATTCCATAATTTGGGGTCTTGATAAACTTAAAAAGAGGCAATCTGAGTTAATGGGGCTATCGGACATGTATTTGATTAAGAAATTAGGTATTTGCTTAAACTAAATAGTTGCCTTCATTCTAAAATTAAATTAATAACTGCCTGACCTATTTTTCGCGCTTTCTTTAATTATTTGTGCACCGACACAAGAATGATTAAAATGCATTTGATATTTAAGTAAGACCTGCCCTTTTTTGCCGCCCACATTCGCGGTGCCGCTCACTAGATTCGTTTGCTCCCACTAAAAATAGCTACAAAGGCACACACACACACACGCGCACTTCCGATCGCAATAACAGAGAGCGGCAGAGAGCGCGCAGAGCAGAGCGCTCTCCCACTCTCCGTAAACAAGTTTGAACAACTCGCCAAACCTGATTTTCCAGCCGTCTCAGAGAGATTACAGGCCGCGTCAGTTGCACCAAATTGCTGCTACGCTCCACACGTTTCGTGCGGAACGCTATTTTCTGGATGTTTGTGTGCCTAAAAACCTGCAGTAGATTTATAAAAATCCCCAGGTAAGCACAAGGTTTATCTTAAAGCAATCGTTAAGCACGGCGATTGCGATATATAAAACATTAAAATGTTTTTTTTATTTGTTTAGGCGTTGCCATATCAGCGAGCGGCAGCCAGACACGCGCTCGATTGAGGTAAAGAAGAGCGCGAGCGAGAGAGTAAGTGGGCGAGCCCGTGAGAGACACCGTTAGCTGCTGCTGTGTGCGTGAGCGTCCGGAACTGAGCAAATGTCTGACGTAAGTGGAAGCAGTTCATCAAATTATGGGGCGATACTTTCCTACTACTAAAAGCAACTAGCGGGCAAATACACATATACGATCAGGTTTAACTGGAAAAGCGTTTCAGCTATTAAGCTCATAAGTCTCGACTTTCTTAAGCTAAATATACGGGTTTTTTTTTTAGGTTACATTAATGTGGCTATTTTCCAATACGAATTTTTGACTTCAATTTTGCGCCCTACACTTACAGGACGAGGCCAATCGGTACGGCGGCAACGCTGGCAGCTGCTCCCAACGTATACGTAATGTCCTGACGCTTGAGGAGCGCGTGGAAGTCATTCGCCAATATGATATTATGCCCATGTACAGCAAACTGGCTAAGAATTTCAACTGTAGCTGGGAGCAAATCAAGAGCATTATCTCAAATCGGGAACCCATTATGGAATTCTATGAAGCGACGCGCCACAACAGCAGACAGCCCAATTCCAAGTTCGAGGAGCTGCGCAGACGCAAAATCAACTTTCTGGGTCATTGCTTGTACGAGTATATACAGCGTGCCCAGTTCCATTTGGGTGTGGACATCAACGAGGAGCTCATACGCACCAAGGCATTGGAATTTCAGACGTTGATGGGCATCGAACATTTCGTGCCCCACAAGGTATGCTTGGATCGGATAGTATATGAATTTGAATCTAATTAGTCTCTGCATCAATCAGTCGTGGATCAATCACTTCAAGGCGGCCTACAACATAACGCTCTCGAATCGCCAGATAACAATGACACGTAAGCCACCCCGTTCTCTGGAACTGCGGGATATTATGTCCTACTGTGGCAAGAACATCCCATCATCGGACAGCAGTAAGCTGCCGGATTTACCTGCTCCTCCAGTGGCGCTCAACACGCAGCAAGCTGTCGCACCACTGCAGGTCAGCACGCCGGCAACAGCTGGACGAGCTGCATTGCTGTCACCGCGGAAGCCCGTGGATATACGTTCCTTGTATCGCACCAAAACCCTGGTGGCTGCTTCTAGCCAGAATCAGGCCACACTGGATGAGCTGCAGCTGCGGCGCAAGCGCAAGATCAACTTCCTGGAGAAGGCGCTGTTCGAGTACATTTCACGCTCGCAGTTTCACCACAAGAACAAAGGTCGCCTGGATGTGGATCATCTGCGCGAGGTGGCCATTAATCTGCGCGACATACTGAAGATTGAGAACTTCTTTCCGGATCGCACGTGGTTCAATCACTTCAAGAGCCACTACAACTTTAGCTTCTCGCAGGGCGTGCATTACAACATGATGTTGCGCCGAGTGCCACTTTCGCTGGATCTGCGCGACATCGTCAGCTACTGCGGCAGGCATGAGCAGCGGGAACAGTCGCAGGGGAACATTACACTAACGCCTAAGGAAAGTCAAGATCCCGCTCGTTTTGTACATGTGCCCATGGTGGAACCGAAGCCGGAGGAAACAATTAAGGAAACCAATAATATTGTCGATGACGACGACGATTGTGTGGCCATTGAGACGCCCACGGAACTGATCGAAATTAAGGATGATGACGATGAGCAAGATAAAGTCAGTGTGTGCGATGAGCGCAGAGATCTCAAGCGCCCAGCAGCAGCAGCAGAAGATAGTCCTGTACCGAACCTGCCTCTCAAGATACAAAAGATCGAATCTTTGAATCCTATTGCACACAGTCCGGGTCACTTTTCCGAGGATAGCGCCGATGGCGAGCTGCCGCGCTGCGTGGAAAACTATAAGGATGCGCTGCGGCTGCTAAAGCCGCTGGAGGAGTTCGCACTGCTGGAGGAGAACTATCGTGCCATTGGACTGCTCACCCAGCTCGAAAAGATTTTCGAAGGGGCGGCCAATCGGGCACAGAATGACAACGACTGCAATTAGAATCCCTTCAATGGAATCAGACATTTGCTATTGAAAACCCTCACTACAAATTTGACCAAAAAATAGATTGCTGGCTTAGTTTTATAAGTGCGTGTATATATAGAGCATAAAATGATTACGTATGTATTAAGAGCCTTGCTCGATAAATGTTGGGAGTATGGAAAACCAACCCTTGTTTGATTAATGTTGTTATAAATACTTATGTGTGCACATAAACAGTTCTTTTGTGTTTGGGAAATGCTAATACTTTGTGTATACACATGTATATATATATATATATAATCATTGAAACCCTCAAAGATTTTTGTTTAATTTTAGAAACAATTCCTAGTCTGGGGGTTCGGCCTGTGAGCCTGGTTTTCTACATTTATAAAACCAGGCCTTGGCTTGAACCTAGAGCAATTTTATATATTATATAAACACAATTAATTAAGTTTATTCTTTTCTGTTTAAGAAAATCCTTAGCTCCGCATAGCTTTTACATATATTTAAATATTTAATAGTCTGTTGAATAACTTTGTCCTTCTCAAGGCAACATTATTTGAAATCCGTCAAGTGTAATTAATAGATTTCTAATGCTCTAGATGATTGATTAACATTCATCTCCATATGTAAAACTGGTTCCTCAAACTCAGTTTTAAAGGTCTTTGTGAAAATTCAACTGAGACGGGTTTTACACTATTCAGAAATTCTACCCCTACTGGGTGGAAAGTGAGGGTTTCCAGGCAAGGCCAGGGAACGCCCCCCATTTGGCTCTAATTATTTGTTATGCATTCATTAAACATAACTTCAATCAAAAGAAGTCATTAGAGTATATGGTACGTGCATATATACATATATATATTGACAGAGCCAGATAATGGGCTATTTAGAATGTCTTGTCACGTGGTCCTGTGCCACATTCGCCAAGGTGCAATGCACATGCTCGGGTTACATAATCCGTTTGGCCCTTTACCGCAGTGCTCCCAACGAAATCAGCGCTTAAACTTTACGTTCACCCTGTAAAACTTTACGCGTCCTGGCCATTTGGAGATGGGAGATGAGAATGACCTGCAGCGCCAATGGACGGGCACCGAGTGTGGCAGGGAGGAAGTTGGGCAGTTGGGCTGCCGCTGGGCTTGGGCTTGGGTCGGTAAGTCGATTCGGAGCGAGGGCGCGCCAGCGAGCGAGCATTGAACGTGCGTGGAGCAGAGCGCTGTAGGTGCTACATCAATTTCAGGATGGCTAGAATAACCCGGGGAGGCAGCGCCAGCGATGGGGAGCGTATGTCCGATAGGGGCAGCATCCCAGCGAGGCACCTCGCTGCGGCTAGCCACACATACAAGCGGACGTACACGCACACGCACACGTGCACCCCTACAGATATACACACATAGATGGAGCTACGATTACACAACATCCATATATATGTACATATAGCTGGGAGCATTGCCTTCATCGCGCTCAGTTGAGCCAAAGTTTCGTTTTACGCTTTCGCCCAGCAGCTTGCAACCCTCCTCAGCGGCAGGACTTTCATTTCAAGGATTTCCGACCGACGTCAGACGTCAACTGACGGCCTGACTATACTCGTTAAGGTAGCGCAGAGAATTGTAGCTATAGAAAACCCACTAGTGTAGGTTAGGTGCGAAGCGGGAACCTTGCGGCACCCAACATGAGGAGCAAGCGACTGAGCGAGAGAGAGGAGGAGGGGTAGCGGTACGAAGCGGAACAGAAGAAGCAACATCAATGCAAAAACGACAACGTCAACTCGAGTCGACTCGACTCAGGTTACTGCCACACGGCTGCGCTCCAAAAACAAAATTGAAGCCCCAGTTCAGACATAAAACCCCGAAAGCCAACATGAAAAGGACTTAAAGGCATACAAGTCCATAAAAGTATAGGCAGCTTACATATGTATGTGTGCATGTATGTACGTGTGTGTGTGTATGTGCCATAGACATGTGCATTTGTCCGGGAGGGATACCAGTATATGTGGGCACAGCTGTCAGGGATTATCCTGTGAACATAGCGAAAGGGGTTGGCAGCTAAGACAATTGCGTTTCAACCAAATGATCAGCTTGAGTCGGTTATCGTATCTATAGTCATTTAGGCACGTACAATGGGTTCTATCTGCAAGATACATTTCGATTTATAGACTCCAAGGCATTTCCTGTACGTAGTTGTTGCCCTTGACATACTGTAATATCATTGTCTATGAACGTTAACTGGTTTTTTTATATATATATAAAGTTGACTCATTTTTTAAACATTCCAGTTTTAACTGATTTTTTACGCCCACCTTGTATAATATAATTACTTAGTCATCTTTGTGCCAAGTATCTTTAAGATATTGTATCTTCAATAACTACTTGAACCCCAATACTATTTTCTTTACAAAATATATATCTGTAAAATTTTCCAGAAGAAACTCTCAAACATTTTAGTTACTATCTGATACAATTGAAACTCATGAAGATAAGTGAGCCCATGATACAATAACACTTCTGGAAAAAATTATTGAAAAATCTTAAAAATAATTCGTATATATAAAACAAACTCATATCTAACATTCTATTCCATCCTTATTTACGTACAGAACTTTTGATATTGTAGATAAAATAGCTATTCAGAAACCTTTCCAAAAGTAGCCTACTTGATCAAGTCCTATACGAAATACATTTTTTTCTAGAAATTACCTAAAAATGTTGACTGGTTTTTCGTATGCACAAGACTGACTCATATTTCCAGCATTCTAGTTGTTATCTGATTGACTTTTCAATAGATTGTATATATGCTCTAGCTGCTATTTATATACACACTTATTTGGTCCAGTGCGTCTTTCTGTGTGTTTGTGTGTATATTTCATATCGATTCTTTCGAAGGCAGCCCATCTATAAACATAAATCTCTGCAGCGCTGCTCTCGGCTCAACCGACCCCTGCCCCAAAGTATATCAGCGTTCGACATCGCCCATGCCAGGCCATAATCGATGCCATTGTATACCAAAAATGAATGAGCTCTCGCATAGAGCCAAAAACAGTAAACCCGAACCGAACCGAACCCCGTCCCCATGTGCCAGAGCAGCGAGGTTATCGTGCAAGACTATACGAATAGTCGAGCGTGTGTATAGAGTCGTATAGATATAGATACAGATACAGCGACGATGCCCGCCGATGCTGAGATACATACAGAACGGAATACATGAGAGGGACGCGCGCTTGTCGATGCTGAGTGGCAGCGGGTCGATGTCGAAACGAGTCTCAGTCTGAAACTCCGACTCTAAGTCTCTGAGACTGTAGTCTCTGAGACTGTAGCCTCGACATCGCCAGACATCGACAGCAGCTGCTTTATAACTGGCACTGGCTGCTCATGCTGCTCATGCTGCTGCTGCTGCTGTTGGCAGTGGTTGTTACTTCTTAAGTATTTGGGTTGTCGGCCCAGCATAAGCCTCTTGGGCTTCGAAAAACTGCTCCGTATATATGCCGATGAAGTAGTTGTTGTTGTTGCTGCTGCTGTTGTTGCTGTGTGCACACGACTTGGCATTGCTTCAATTCCATAGGCATCGTTGAGACCCAGACGATGATGGCACTTGAGCATCAGCATTTCCACTAGCACCACCAGTTCACCAGTTCTCAACTGGCTTAGACTCTAGGGGGGACGTAATGCGGCGGGGGCTATCAGCCATTCCCTTCTCCTGTCCTGTCGATGCTGGGCATGATGCTGATGATGCTTTCAGCTTTCAGTCATGCGCTGGCGCTGATGCTGAATCTGATGCTGGTGCTGGTGCTCCATCGTTCGGGCGAGCGACCCGCACATTCGGATTCATTCGGTCGCTCGTTCAGCTGGCACAGCTTTCGATAGATGCTAATCTATCTTTATTGTACAAAGATGTCGAGAGGATGTGTATGCGAATTGGGAACTAGGGATTGGGGAATGTGGCCACAAAGACGGTATGACCGTCGGTTCGGTGCGACAGTCAGTTCTGTCCGTGATTCTGACTCTTTTCGGGGGCTGCTATAAATATAAATGGTCTTTCGGCATTCGTATGTATTGGATTTCACATGGGTTCGATTTTGGTGTGAGCTACGTTTTAGGGAAGCCAACGTATATACCACATACAATACATACACATACCTTTTTGAAAGGTTTTATATGTGCACTGTGGTATTCTGTTCGGCTTCAGGTGGCTCTTAAGTGGTACAGTTGAGTTCTCTTTGGATGGGTATTGCACTTAAACGGATTGAATTTCACTTCAGAATTTTTCCTTTCTCATAACATATCTTAAGTTAAGTAGTATACATAAATATTCTCAAGATATGTATAGATATTCTTTCTTAAAACCAATCGTTACTTTACTCTCTTGATTCGATTAAATTCCCCAATTCGACTTTATCTATAAAACAAAGACGCCATCTCTGACCCAATAAATTATATAAATTCTCGGTCAGCATCAATAACGCGTCGATCTCAGAGACTATAATACCTAAAGACCTGAACTGCTTCTAATGCCCATGCAGATTATGTTTGTTTAAACGAATCGATAACTTGGCTTGTCTCCATGAAATCGATAAATAATCGATATCTATATCATTAAATTTGACCATCTCGGAGCCTACAATCCTCGAAATCTATATAAAGAAATTTGAATATAACTCTCGATCCAGAATATTTGACTTTAGATTAAGTTTGCGTCAGAGAATCGATAACTTGCTTCGCTTCTATGAAATTGATAAGTAGTTGATATTGAAATCTTATATATCTTATATCTTTTTTATCTCGGAGCCTACAAAAGCCAGAGATCGTTTTTAATATAGACTCTCGATCCAAACTATTTTACCTTAGATTAAGTTGATTTCAAGGAATCGATAACTCGCTTCGTTTCCATGAAATCGATAAACAGTTGATATCGAAATACTTTCCTATAAGGTCTAGAGACCTCCGAATTCGGTATATAGACTTTCGATCAAGAATATATAACTTTTTGACACCTTCCGCTAATCCCCCAAATTTGTAAAAAAAAAAAACATTATTGGGAGTACAATCTTGGGCTATGTTATTTACACACATTTGGATGCCATATTTATGCAATGCAGTTTTCATAAAGACCAAACGAAAAATACCCAAGTTAACCAGGATTTAAACAGGAACCACATTTCCCATAGTATGGGGTTAAAAGATAGGATAAGAAGTTGCTGCATTTAAAAATATAAAATAAATCTAGAGTACCTCCTAGTCTGG